CAGAGCAGTGGCTACAATCACACACTTGCTTGGAAGACAGGGAGGGGTGGGGGGTGCCACATGTGACAGGCCATGAAAGGTCCCTGCCTATAAAACAGACTGGAAAACAAACCCTTAATTTAAATGTTAATGAAAGTGCTGTGGAGACATCAGAGGCTTCCCGGCTGCTTAGAGAACAGCTACACCAGCCACAGAATTTATGGCTCCCCTTCACCCTCCCGCCTCCCTCTCTGCCTCATCACCCACTGAAGTTTAAAGAGTAAAAAAAAAAAACAACTAATTTTAACATTAACTCCATGCTTCCACCTTGGGATGTGATTGCTAAATTATCTGTAGGCAGAACAGTGATCAAAGGTGGAAAAACACAGGCACGGTGCACACACAACCCAGAAAAGTCAGCCACAGCTGTGGCAGGAAAACGATCTTCTCCCTCTCCCCTGCGCGATGGAGGAAGAGCAGAAATAGCAGTGCGGGCGGGGACTGGAGCGGGAAGGAGGGAAAGAAAGCTCTGACCCCTCCACTGTGCTCCGTTCCCCCATCTGAGAACTTAGCACACAGGTTACCCATTTGATTAGTCTGTCTCTGACCATGGTCTCATCAGACCATGCTGTCTAGTTCACTGCTGTTCCCCCAGGGGTCTAGCACATAGTAACGCTTAAGTACCTGGACAGAGACAGAGAGAGAAAGTGCAGCAGGCGGCAGGTGGGAGAGAGACGGAGGTGGAGAAAGAATTGAGACACTGCGACTGAGGGGCGGAAATGTACCCGTCAGCAGGGGCAGGGTCTCCGTGGCATGCGCTCTGTCTCTAGCCTTCTACAGCGGCCTCTGTTTCTGCCTGTGGTATTTTATTTGTCAGCTCTTGACAACAGAGCCAACCTTGCTGGCCAGGGAAAAGTCACTCCCACAAATGGGTTCTGGGCCAGCCAGGACTGGTTGGGGTGCTGGTCTCAGGCCAGCAGCTTAGCACATGAGCCTCCCCGTGCCCATCCTGCCCTGGCTAGTGGCAGAGAGCCAGAGTTTTGAGGAAATGAAACCCACCCCTGTCCCTGTGGCATTTCGTCCTTGCTACTGATGGACATACCCGCCAGAGAGGCGTGGCTTAGCACAGGCAATGAACTCTAGGGTGGCGGGCACTGCCCTGAGACTCAGCAGGACCAGACCCTGATTCAACTGTATCCCCAACACTGATCATTTTCCAATTTTCAGTCATTTCAGGCTGGACCAAGGGGCCCACCTAGCATTACCCAGAGCTTCCTTCTTTCTCCAGGTATCATGCCTCCCCTTCCGGCCATGCCAGCCCACCATGGTGCCTCTGCACCTCTGACCCTCTCATCCAGAGGCACCACATGCAGGAAGCTCCCTCCTGTGTGCTCTACAGCCTGGCAAAGGGGAACGCTGGGCCAGTTCTTGCCTTAGCAAGGTATCTTTTCCCTAGACAGGCCCCAGCGGAAGCTTCCCTCTTGTCCCAGCCCTGGGAAGGGAGAACAGGGAGGTCTTTGAGTTGGCCAGGGGCCAAGTCATCAGGAGAACCAGCGACAAATATGAGGTCTGACAAAGTCATCCAACGGAATATTCTTTCAGGTTATCAAGGTTAGGGATCCTCTTCAGGACCCAGCTCTCTACTGCCAATCAGAAAAAGCAAAACTCAGAGGCACAACCTTTCCTTTTGATTCGTCTCCTCCTCAAAGCCCTGAGTGAGTTATGCAGCCTAGGGCCAAAGGATTGCTGAACCACTGGGAACCAAAAGATTCCAAACCAAAAGTTGGCTGCTTCTTTTTCCAATCTTTCAAACCTCTCTGTCAGGGAAAACTCCAGATGCAATTACTTTTCACTAAAGAAAGGTGCATTTCAACAGGCTAGTGAATATGCATCTACCCCCCACACAACACACAGCAAACCCTGTAGCCACTGGAACAAACACCCTGCTCTCCCAAGAAACCCACCCCCTTACCAAACAGTACACAGTGCCTGCTCTCCGTCCAGATTCTCCCTCACCTCTGGGAGAAGTGAAGCAAGAAGGGGCAGCTGCTCTGTCAAAACCCCCCAGAGGCCACAACTCACTTTACAAATTTGAATCGGTACATTTCATGCAGACTTGGACTAATCCCCCAAAAAACAAACAGGCCACCACAGTGAGCAAAGTAACACAAAATTATATTGTATATTTAATAACACAGCTAAGTCGAGTTTCTACACCTATACCACTCATATATTTCCCTAATGACAGAAACAAGAGAGAAGGGATTAAAACCCAAGTGTCCTAGGAAGCCTTCCTGACCACACTCGCTCTCACGATAGCAAACGTTGTTCTGGGGGAGGGGGCGGATTCTGTCGAGCACCTCCTTTCTCCTGAGGGTAATAACTATGGTGTCTGCAGAGGAAGGAGAAGCTGTGGGTTCCTCTCTCCTCCCCTCCTAGGCAAGCAGGGCAAGCAGGCCTACAGATTGATTTCACCATCAGGGCCCCCCCGTCTGCCTGGCTCGGAGGGGGCCCTGCAGACTGAAGATCTACGAGGACCCGCACTCCCGGACTGGGGCAGGCATTTACAGCTACCTGAGTGAGCCCACCCCTCTCTCTCTCTACTCTGGCCCCGGTTCCCACAGAGCCCTTCGAGGGCCACAGCTACTATCCAAGACGCGCTAGTGGTAAAGGCATGGCGATGACCTGGGGCCTGCCTCGTGGTCCTCCCTGAGCCCACAGGACATGGGTGGACTATGACAGGCTGCAGACCGGAGCACCAACTGCTGCCTCTTCCACCCTATGCCACATGTGCCCTACCTTGAGCTTCTCTAAGCCTCGATTTCTCCCTCTGCCTGGAATGGCACCCTTCTTCCCCCTTAAAGACAGCCTAGTTTCAGGCACTTAGTATCACATGGCGACCATCACAATTATGTACCCGTCTTATTCCCACCTACGAACAGGCCCTCTGGGGGACCTGCCTCGCAGCACATGTCCGGTCAGTGCACAGGAAGTGGGGAGAAAAGGGAGAAGGAAAGGAAAAGATGAAAAGCAGAAGGGAATGAAAGTAAGTCTTTAACAGTTCTGCATTTCCTCATTCTTGAGGATTTACTAACTTTATTCAGCTGGCAATAATTTTGGATGGCAACAAAACATATTGGACATTTTAAAAACTCAGCTTATCCGTGTTACTCATGGAACAGTGCTCAGAATCCAATGCGACCTCAGGAGGTTGGTCTGTGAGACCAGCTGGGCTGACGTACGCAGCCCCACAAACACGCCCGGACACTGTCCTGCCACCCAGGCAGGCCTCAGGAGCTCACTGCTGTTCCATCTGAACCCACCGCTCATTAACAGTGCCAGGCCAGGCCTCCTCTGCAGGAGGAGGGCTTCATCTCCAAGTCATGAATCTCAGAAACAGAACCATTGCTATCAGGGCAAGAAGATGGGTAAGAGGCAGAGTAAAAGGCCCTTGCCTGCCACCCTGCTGTGGAGACAAGTGGTTTTCCTCCTGTGTTTTCTGAGTGCCTAAACACAGCTCGAAGCACATAACTGGTGTTAAGTATCATCTTCCATGACTGTTTACGAATCAAGAACTCAAGGTCATGGAAGGAAGGAAAGGTGACATCTGGACACAGGAAAGAGTACCTGCTTGCTTTCAGTCATGAGCACCTCAAAATAAGCCTAGGGCTTGAGGTTTCATGTTTCACACTACAAGTGTCTAAGTTAACACATAAGAAAAAAAGGCAGAAAAGTCCTAGCATCAGATAGATATGATAAATACCTCTGACATATTATTTGAAATTGCAGAAAGAGATTAATTAAGAGAAACGACGTGCCAGATCTAACTATCCAGGTTCCTTCTAACTGTAAGGGAGCTGTGAGGGCGTGAGAAATTGTCAGGTAAATCACCCTGGCTGGTATGGCTCAGTGAATTGAGTGTTGGCCTGTGAACAAAACGGTTGCCAGTTCAAATCCCAGTCAGGGCACATGCCTGGGTTGTGGGCCAGGTCCATGGTAAGGGAGCGCAGGAGAGACAATCACACATTGATATTTCTTTCCCTCTCTTTCTCCCTCCCTTCCCCTCTTTCTAAAAATAAATAAAATCTTTTTAAAAAGAAGGAGTCAGGTAAACCAGGAGTCCCTGCCCTAGAGGAGGACAGCTGGGTGCCCCAACAGCACCCCCATGTTCTTCATGAGTTCAGGGTCTCATCACATTAGTGATACTGATGACCACAGTCCATAGGAAAGTGGCAGGAAGGGGAACAGAAGGCAGCCACCAAGGGCAAGAATATTACAGGAGGAAAAGGAGAGGAAAGAGAGATCCCTGCTGAGTCCCCACCTCAAGAAGACTGCAAAAGAGCAAAGTAACTCCACCAGGGCCAGCCAAAGCCTGGGGCAAGAGCTGAGACATGAGGCCACGGGGCAAATGCTACAGAGAGGAGAGATTCCGGTGGGCACCGTATTACAGCCCTTTTAGCTTTGCAGAGTGTTTTCTCATTCATTACTGTATGTCACAGTCATGATAATCTAGAAAGGTCTATAAAGGAAAAATATTTACATTTCATAGATGAGGAAACTGAGGCTCAGCGAAGGGGACGACTTACCTGAGGTCGCTCTGTTGGCTGGTGGCAAAGCAGAACTCCAGTCCCCCAGAAGAGACCCCAAGGCTGGGAGGCAGTGCCTCCCAGATCAGGATAAATGGATAAGTTTGTTGAAAAGTTCAAATCCATGGACAGAGAGAGAAGAAATTGATCTAACATTAAGATGAAAAGGCCCCTATCCCAGAATAGTTTTGGATAAGACAAAAAGGAGCAGAGATAACACCACCATATATTCTGGTCTCCCAATGCAATGACAGAATCCCAAAAGCAAATTATTTTTTTTAATAAAAAGCCACACAGCATTTATTGTCATCTGGTAATAACAAAAGGGTAATCAAAACAATATGAATAAATGTTCAAGGACTATCTGCAACAAAGAACACCTAAAGAACACAAATGGAATTGCTTCTCAACAATTTCTCATGTTGTCAGTCATTTCTAGATGGAGACACTTTGGAGCAGAATATTATTATCTCCTTTTAGCATGCTCTGACCTAGTTGTTTTCTTGACTTTGTTTTAGAATGAATCTCTTCTGCACCAATGACACAGCCCTCTATCCATACACTCACTTGCTCATAAAGCCACAGCTGAATCTGAGATCTGTCCTGCAAGTACTTGAAGATAAGGTTGATGGGCTGCACCATCACCTTCTGCACTCTTTGGGCTTGGCCACATATGCCATGGTGGAAGCTGACAAAAGACCACACTAACTGCCCTGGCTGGTGTGGCTCAGTGGATTGAGTGCCGCCTGTGAAGCAGGGGGTCACCAGACTGATTCCCAGTCGGGACACATACCTGGGTTGTGGGCCAGCTCCCCAGTGCGGGGTGTTCCAGAGGTAACCACACATTGATGTTTCTCTCCCACCCTTCTCCCTCCCTTCCCCTCTCCCTAAAAGTAAATAAATAAAATCTTAAAAAAAAAAAAAGACCATACTAACCCATGCAATACCTCAAAAATCTACTTCTGGAATTAAGCTACAAACTATTTTTAGAGTCCAAGATACCATCTGGAGTTAGGGGAAAGGTCATCTCAAATAACTCTGGGTGAGGAGCTGAAGAGCCAACCAACAGTGAGTGAAAGACTCATCCCAGGGTCAAGAAAGTACACCAAGAAGCCTCTGAAGGAGAATGTGAAGAAAATGTAAGACTCGGGTTTTCACCAAAGATGAAGTACATCAAGGACACAGCAGAGGGTCTGGCGCGGGGCTGCTGACTAATCGGTGTTAGCTGCTAGTAGCAGTAGCAGTCAGGGGGCATACTCGTAATAGAAAGCTAGGTCTTTCCTCAAAGCCAGTCTCCAAGTTGTAGCCAACCCCCCCCTCCCAAACTCTCTTAACTGTAATCTAAACTGCTACTTAATGGTGAGGGCAGACTCTTTCCTCAACTTCTTATTGGCACCATCTTCGACAGCTGCTGTGCTCCATTCTGTTAACAGGTAGCAGGGCACAGTCCAGAAGAGGCAGCTGGAGGAGAAGAATATGGCTCGGGGGTGCTGGGAGAGTCTGTCTGTGTTCTTTGGCCTAAACACACGGGCAGGGAGCACGCGGACCATCTCCAGCTCAGAAGAACTGCCCTCCACCACCCACCCCACCCCACCCCACCCAAATCCCCTGAAGCCAGCAGACGTCCACAGGTAACCACCAAGACAAAGTCACCAGGGCACCTGTCATCTCCCACAGACTGTCCCACTGTCCTTCAATCTTCACACAGATCCAGCCCACAGACCCCGAAGCCGGGCTCACTGGCTTAAACAGGGGTAGCAGCATGAGGAAGAAACTGAGGAGCGGACGAAGCCGGCCGGCTCCGGTTTCCACCCTCCGCTCCCACACACTTAGGCCTCTCTCCTCCCCGCTGCTCTTTCCTTCCCGCTTCCCTAGGATCGCTGCAATGATTTGTTCCGAACAGCGACAGGTTTATAGGTTAGCCGACACCTCCGCTCTGTGGAATTTTAATTAACTTCTCCCATCGTCAATATGCTAAGGAATGGGGTCTCCATTCTCTGGGGTCAGCAATGTGTTTCAGGTCCTGCTATATCAGCCGTCAAATTGAAGAATTAATGACGTGGCTAATCGGCTCTAATTCTTTAGGAAGAAAAAAATTTGAAAGGGAATTGTGGAAGGGGGCAGGAGGAGGGGTGCAAGCTCCTTGGGGTGAAGAGGAGGAAAGGGGGCTGAGCAAAGGAGGGAACTGACTCTCTCGTAAAACAAATGACTGACTCAAACTCAGTTTTGGGGGGTGGTGGCCCTACAGCTTTCCCTCTGATCATTTGGATTGGGAGGGAGGGACGGAGGAAGCGGGTAAGACCCGAGGCGAACACTGTGGCAGAGCAGGTACAGGAGAGGGCATCAGTGCCCGCTGCTGGGGAGGAGAGGGGCTCTGCCCAAGTCCACGAGAGCCTAGAAAGCAGAAGTCAGGATAGATAAAGCTAGAGAAATACCGGTCAGGCCAAAGGGTAGGGTAGAGCCATCATCAAAAACCTGGCACTTCTGCCACGATGGTCAATAAATCTACACCACATTTGGATGAAATGTCTTCAGATGAAAGCCCAACAGCCCACAGGCCTCGTGCCTCTCCTGATGCCTCAACTCTGTAAGGGCTTCTCCGGGAGACATTTTCCAAGGGGACACACCACTGATGTGAGACCTGTGAGAGCAGGCTGGCTGGCACTGTCACCTCCCAGGGGTGCTGAGAGGCCTCCGCTTTAGTAACAACCCAGAACGGCATCTATTCCAGATAGGACACTGTTGTCATAGCTGGACTCAGTTACGTTCTAACACAGCACCTTTTCCCTCACATCCCTGGGCCAGATGGATGCTCAGGAAGCTGGCTCCTGGAAGGTTAGCTCAAGCCCACGCATATAGGCAGTGACCTGCAGACCTCAAGTCTCTGGAGGATTCCCAAAACCTCCAGGAGGGTAACCTAAAGCAACCTAGAACATACAGGTAGAAAGGAGATTTTCTAGCCCACCTGACTTTGTAAAATAAAAGCATTATTACACGGGACGGACATAAGCATATCCAAAAATATCTCCCTTACCTGAGTAACGGACTGATAGCAATGGACCAGACTCGGTCTTCAGTCTGGATGGTGTGTAAGCACTGCCCAAGCCGGCCTGAGGCCAAAGACCATACCTGGAAACAGGAGAGGAGATGCTCTCGTTGGCAGTGCCTGGATGGGCGTGGGGTGAAGGAAAGATGCACAGGGTGGGGGTGGTGATGGTGGCGGCGGCGGCAATGGATAGCCCTTTCTGTCCTGTATACACAGAGCACAGGGTACCAGCAGAGGGGCCTCTCGGCTTCTGGATAGCCTACCACCCAAATAGACCCTGGCTCCCAGTCTAACCACCCTCTTTCGCCTCCACCCGATGGCCCTTACTTCCCAGCCGACTTTCTACCAGGGAATCAGAAGTTTCACATTCCTCAGCTGAGGCCTGACTAAGACAAGTGAGTGGTGTGGCTCGCCTCTCTTAGCAACCTCCCCCTGTGTGTGGATTTTCCTTTCTCCTATCTCTCACCAAGATTTCACTTTGGGGACGTAGAGGGGAGGGGGGGAAGATCAAGGTGCAGTACGGGAGGAAAGAGATAGAATTAGAGAGAGGAGTGAAAAGAGAGATGCAAGAGAAGGAAAGAATGGAAGAAGAGAAACCTCGAAGTAGCAAGGTGGTGTGTTGTTGTTTGTTTGTTGACAATGCCCAGGATCCAATGCTATTCATGTCGGCACGGAATTTAGCACCTAGTGTCACCAAAAGTAGCAGAAAAGCTTAACTCTTTTAAGCTTCCATATCTCCTACAGGTTAAAAATATTGCTTGGAGCACATTATCTGGTCCCTATCAGTCAGGAATGTACATTAGCAGCCACTCTGGGCTTAACTCTAATCAACACTCACAGAGCCCTCTCAGCAGTCAGTGCATTTAGAAATCTCCCATTAAGCACGAGGCCCCCCCACCTCACCCAACCCCAGATGACACACACAGGGATAGAAGCCTCTAACTAAACAGAAAGGAAACCTCAAATATACAGGGCTATCCCCAGACAGCAGCCAAGGAGGGACCCTGGGATGGCCGGATGGGTCAATGACCTCTCAGGGTCCCTGCAGTGCTATAAGGGGAACACACAGGTCAGTCAGCACCTTAGATGGAAGAACTTTCAGGAAACATTCCTTGAGTTTAATGGGTAAGGAATGGAGTGGGGGTAGTCCGGCCTCCTTGGGGTCACATGATATCTCTTCCCTATAAAAGGAGAAAGTGTTTCAGATTTTGTGTGCATGATGGGGGGAAGTGGGCATGAGTTAATTTTCTCAACAAAGGGAAAAGAAATAAATCTAACACGAAGATCCTGAATGAGGAGGGGCAGAAAACAAAGGTAAATACCACACATTTCTCAGCGTGCCATGATTCTGGCTCACTCTTCTGGATCTACGGTCAGGCCACTTTGGTAGTAACTAGATGTGCTCCCAATGTCCTCTCTTAGACGGCCCCATATGGAAAGAGAGGTTTGCCTCTTCCCTGATGCAAGCCCCCTAGAAGGCATGCTCTTGCATGGCTGGTGGGAAGACACTAAGGACTCTGATTATAAAATCTATGGGGACAGCCTAGGCCTGAATTCACTGGTGCCCCCAGGACACAAGCCGGTGCACTCCCAGATCGTGCAAGCCGCAGAACAAGGCTCCTGGTCTCCAGGAGTGGCTCAGGGAGCACGTGGCCAATCCCGAGCATCATCTCGGGAATGCAGGCCTCCTGACCTGCCCCAGCAGTGCCCCATCCACCCGAAACGTGAGTATGCTGAACACGCCTTCACCCTCAGTGGTCAAATACGAAGAAGACCCATCCCTGGAGACGTAACCCGGTGGGAGTGGACATTTATACAGTTCTTCTAAAAAGCAGTTGGCTGTATGTACCAAGACCTTTAAAATCACCAAAGTCTTTACACTGGCTGCTGTGACTCAGTTGGTTGAGTGTCATCCTGAAAACCAAAGGTCATGGGTTTAATTTCCTGTCAGGGCACATGCCTGAGTTGTGGGCCAGGTTCTCGGTCGGGGCATGTGCAAAAGGTAACCGATGTTTCTTCCCTCTCTCCCTCCCTCCCCTCTTTCTAGAATCAATAAAAGAAAAAAAATAACTTAAATCATCAAAGCCTTTAATTTAGTCATTCTATTGCTGAGACCCTATTTTGAGAAAATAATCCTAAATCGAAGAAAACTAAATGATGAAAATGTTTCCTAGAGCCTGCAGTCGCAGAAAGGACTTTAGGACCAGACAGATCTGGGCTGAACCCTCTTTGTTACTTATCGTCCCTGGTTTTACAGATGTTTCATAACTCCTTAGCCTCAGCTTCCTCACGTATAAAATGGGAACAAATACCTATCTTTCAGGGTTGCAGTGTGGAAAAGTGAAGATATGTATAAATTACTCAGCACAGTAGCAAAGAATTTGGTAGATATTAGGCATCAATAATAATGGTTCTTAATACTATAGGAAAAAAACTAGATACAAACATTACCAAGAGGAAAAACAGTGACTAAACTATGGCAAGTCCATTGTGAAGCCATTAAAGATGACACTAACAAATAATTTGAAATAATGATGGAAAACTTCATAAAATAAAGTCGATACAGCAGTGTACACTGGACAGCTAAAATATATTACAAGCATATTATGCAACAGAA